TTTGAGATTACTTCTAAAATAACACACAAGTAAAAGATTTCCGAAATTCTTTCAAATTACTTCAAAAATAAAGACACAACATTTTCAAAAGATTTCTTTAAATTATTTCAAAAACAAGGCTCAATTTAATTTCTTCTTTAAAATTACTTCAAAAACACGACACAAATTGTTTCCGAGATTCTTTGAGATTACTTCAAAGAGAGACATAAGGGATCTCCAAGATTTTTTCAGATTACTTCAAAAACAAGACACATGAGACGGTCGAGATCCTTTAAAATTACTTCAAATACAAGACAAAAGGGGTTCGCAAGATCCTTTAAAATAACTTCAAAAAAGACACAAAAGTGCCCTGAGATTTTTTAAATTGCTTTAAAAATAAAGACATAAGAGGTATCCAAGATTCTTTTAAATTACTTCAAAAATAAAGACACAATATTTTCGCGAGATACTTTTAAATTGTTTCAAAAACAAAGCTCAAAATGCCTCTGAGAATTTTTTAAATTACTTCAAAAATTACCACACAATATTTTCACGAGATACTTTTAAATTGTTTCAAAAACAAAGCTCAAAATGTCTCCAAGATTCTTTAAATTACTTCAAAAGCACGGCAGAAATTGTTTCCGATATTCTTTGAGATTACTTCAAAAAGAGACATAAGGGATCCCCAAGATTTTTTCAGATTACTTCAAAAACAAGATACATGAGACGGTCGAGATTCTTTAAAATTACTTCAAATACAAGATAAAAGGGGTTCCCAAGATTTTTTAAAATTACTTGAAAAATACGACACAAGTAGATCTCCGAGATTTTTTTAAATTACTTCAAAAATTACGGCATAATATTTTCATGAGATACTTTTAAATTGTATCAAAAACAAAGCTCAAAACGTCTCCGAGATTCTTTAAAATTACTTCGAAAACACGACACGAATTTTCCGAGATTCTTTGAGATTACTTCAAAAAGAGACACAAAAGATCCTCGAGGTTTATTTAGATTCCTTCTACAGCAAGACACATGAAAACCCTGAAATTCTTTAAAATTACTTCAAATACAAGACAAAACGAGTTTCCAGCGATACTTTAAAATAATTTCAAAAAAAGACACAAAGGGCCGCTGAGATACTTTAAAATTACTTCAAAAACACGACACAAATTGATTCTCGAAATTTTTTGAGATTACTTCTAAAACAAGCACAAAAAAGGTTTCCGAAATTCTTTCAAATTACTTCAAAAATAAAGACACAATATTTTCCCGCGATTCTTTTAAATTACTTCAAAAACAATGCTTAATTTGTCTCCGAGATTCTTTAAAATTATTTCAAAAACACGACACAAAATTGTTTCCGAGATTCTTTCAGACTACTTCAAAAAGAGGCACAAGAGATCCTCGAGATTTTTTGAGATTACTTCTAAAGCAAGACACATGAGAACCGTGAGATTCTTCAAAATTACTTCAAATACAAGACAAAAGAGATTTCCAAGATTCTTTAAAATAATTTCAAAAAAAGACACAAAGGGCGGCTGAAATTCTTTAAAATTACCTCAAAAAGACGACACAAATTGATCTCCGAAATTTTTTGAGAGTACTTGTAAAACAAGACACAAAAAAAAGTTTCCAAAATTCTTTCAAATTACTTTAAAAATAAAGACACAATATTTTCACGAGATACTTTTAAATTGTTTCAAAAACAAAGCTCAATATGTCTCCGAGATTCTTTAAAATTACTTCAAAAACACGATACAAATTGTTTCCGAGATTCTTTGAGATTACTTCAAAAAGAGACACAAGAGATCCTCGAAATTTTTTGAGATTACTTCTAAAGCAAGACACATGAGAACCGTGAGATTCTTCAAAATTACTTGAAATACAAGACAAAAGAGGTTTCCAAGATTCTTTAAAATAATTTCAAAAAAAGACACAAAGGGCGGCTGAAATTCTTTAAAATTACCTCAAAAACACGACACAAATTGATCTCCGAAATTTTTTGAGAGTACTTGTAAAACAAGACACAAGAAAAAGTTTCCAAAACTCTTTCAAATTACTTCAAAAATAAAGACACAATATTTTCAGGAGATACTTTTAAATTGTTTCAAAAACAAAGCTCGATATGTCTCCGAGATTCTTTAAAATTACTTCAAAAACACGATACAAATTGTTTTAGAAATTCTTTGAGATTACTTCAAAAAGAGACACAAGAGATCCTCGAGATTTTTTGAGATTACTTTTAAAGCAAGACGCATGAGAACCCTGAGATTCTTCAAAATTACTTCAAATACAAGACAAAAGGGGTTTCCAAGATTCTTTAAAATAATTTCAAAAAAAGACACAAAAGGCCGCTGAAATTCTTTAAAATTACACCAAAAACACGACACATATGGATCTCCGAAATTTTTTGAGATTACTTCTAAAACAAGACACACAAAAAAAAGGTTTCCGAAATTATTTCAAATTACTTCAAAAATAAAGACACAATATTTTCACGAGATTCTTTAAAATTACTTCAAAAACACGACACAAATTGTTTCCGAAATTCTTTGAGATTATTTCAAAAAGAGACACAAGAGACCCTCGAGATTTTTTGAGATTATTTCTAAAGCAAGACACATGAGAACCGTGAGATTCTTCAAAATTACTTCAAATACAAGACAAAAGAGGTTTCCAAGATTCTTTAAAATAATTTCAAAAAAAGACACAAAAGGAGGCTGAAATTCTTTAAAATTATCTCAAAAAGACGACACAAATTGATCTCCGAAATTTTTTGAGATTACTTGTAAAAGAAGACACAAAAAAAAGTTTCCGAAATTCTTTCAAATTACTTCAAAAATAAAGACACAATATTTTCACGAGATACTTTTAAGTTATTTCAAAAATAAGGCTCAATATGTCTCCGAGATTCTTTAAAATTACTTCAAAAACACGACATAAATTGTTTCCGAGATTCTTTGAGTTTATTTCAAAAAGTAAGAGGGTTCTCTCATATTCTTTAAAATTACTTCAAATACAAGACAAAAGGTGTTTCCAAGATTCTTTAAAATAATTTCAAAAAAAGACACAAACGGCTGAGATCCTTTAAAATTACTTCTAAAACAAGACACAAAAAGACTTCGAAATTTTTTTAAACTACTTCAAAAATTACGACACAAGAAGTTTCCGAAATTCTTTCAAATTACTTCAAAAATAACGACACAATATTTTCGCGAGATACTTTTAAGTTATTTAAAAAACAAGGGTCAATATCTCCGAGATTCTTTAAAATTACTTCAAAAACACGACACAAATTCTTTCCGAGATTCTTTCAGATTACTTCAAAAAGAGACACAAGAGATCCTCGAGATTTTTTGAGATTACTTCTAAAGCAAGATACATGAGAACCCTGAGATTCTTCAGAATTACTTCAAATACACGACAAAAGGGGTTTCCAAGATTCTTTAAAATAATTTCAAAAAAAGACACAAAGGGCTGAGATTTTTTAAAATTACTTCAAAAACACGACACAAATGGATCTGCGTAATTTTTTGAGATTAATTCTAAAACAAGACACAAAAAAAAGTTTCCGAAATTCTTTCAAATTACTTCAAAAATAAAGACACAATATTTTCACGAGATTCTTTTAAATTATTTCAAAAACAATGCTTAATGAGTCTCCAAGATTTTTTCAGATTACTTCAAAAACGAGATACATGAGAACCCCTAGATTATTCTTTAAAATTACTTCAAATACGAGACAAAAGGGGTTCCCAAGATTATTTAAAATAACTTCAAAAAAAGACACAAAAGGGCCCTGAGATTTTTTAAATTGTTTTAAAAATAAAGAAATGAGAGGTCCTCGAGATTCTTTGAAATTACTTCAAAAACACGACACAAATGAATCTCCGACATTTTTGAGATTACTTCTACAATAAGACACAAAAAAGTCCGACATTTTTTTAAATCACTTCAAAAATAAAGACACAAAAATTTCACGAGATTCTTTAAATTTATTTGAAAAAAAAAGACTGCAGAGATCTCCGAGATTCTTTAAAATTACTTCAAGAACAAGACACAAACCGATCTGGGGCAATTTTAAATTACTTCAAAAACAGAATACTTTAGTGAATACAAACATTTTCAAAATTCACTTTCTTAGACACTGAAAAATTCTCTCATTGATTTAATTAATACCTAAACGTGCTCGCTGCACTCGCGTTCTGAATGTTCTTTTTTGATATTATTTAGAGTCATAAACATTTACGACAGAACAGTAAATTCAGATTTTTAAACTACAAAATTTTTCTTGATAAAAATTTAACTTCTCAGGGACACCAATAAATAATTTTTTAATAACACCTGAACGTGCTCGCTGCGCTCGCATTCTTGGTATTCTCTTTTTAATTGTTTTATACGGGGAATTTTTTTATACGAGTAGTTTAGAAATGAATAAGTTAACTTTATTGATAAAAATCATCACCAAATAAATCTGATCTAACCGATGATTCATCTCCTTCATAAAATTGATTACGTCATCTCAAAAAATTACAGGAATAAGTATAAAAATACGCCCTTATATATGAACGAATTTATTTTTCTACGTATTTCAGAAAAAAAATCATTCCCACCGAAATCGTCGTCAACTAATTAAATCGTGATTGAAATATATATTTTTAATTTTTTAAATCGTTTACACGTGATGTCAAGAAAACTCGTCTGATTTACGAAACTGTGAGAACGGGATTATATATAAAATCAACAAAATATTTATCTTTCGAAAAAATTAATGACGTCGTCGTTAAAAAAAATTAAAACAGTTTAATTAACGAAAACATTTCATACTTGTATCATAAAAATCTCTTTCCTTAAGCTCAAAACGCGCACTTCTGACAACATCAAAAATGCCTCGTTTCAAACCCCAAAACCGATTTTTTTCCCAAAAATATCGCTTTATACACAAACATGCGACAAAAAATTTTAAAAATCACCCTTCTGCCCCCACAGACACCAACCCCCTTCAACAAAAAACTCACGCTTTGCCTCAGCGGCCTCCGCAAGGACGAAAGCGACAGCAGCGAGAAGAACGGCAGCCGACCAACAGTTCATCTTCAAACTATTGCTATATGTGGTAAATAGTTGTGTTGAAGAGCACCCAAAACTGTTATGTCGGACGTTGAAGTTTTGAAATGAACGAGGCGCTTTCGCGCTCGCCTTTTCATTCATAGAAGCGGCCTGCGCCGCCGCCGCCACCCCCACCCCGCAGCTTTTTGCGCGAGCTTTGCGCCCCTCCGCCGCACACCTACGTGCGAGCGGCGGAGGGGGCGCGTATGAGTGGCGGTTTCATCTAGGCGCGAGAGGGGCTTGATCTAATCTAACAATAACACGAAGATCTAAGAGCTTTTGTTGGCAGATCGGGTTTCGTGAGGTGTTTCGGGGGATTTGGTAGCATCTTCAGGCTGGAGTGGTGAATATGTGTCGGAATTAGGCGACGTGGGGGGGATTAACCGAGGGCGGGGGTGGAGAAGTCAAGGGTTAATTTTGGAAATTTCGGCGTGTTGAAAAAATCAGAATTTTTAATAGAGATGTAAAACTCATACAATATTTTGACTGATACAATGAATGACTTTGATTTTAAGTGAATTTTTTTTTTCAGAAATTATTTGAATAATTTAACCGAATGTTGGCAACAAGTTGTTGGGAATTTTTGTAGCTATGTGATTTTTTCGAGTGAGTGCGTAAGTTCTGTACAAAACAAAGCAATTGGAAACCTAAATTCCTTAATTATTTTTTTTAACAGAATATCAGGATTCAAAGCAGTAGCGGTTAGTGGGTCAAAATTTCGGGTCGGCCAAATATTTTGAGTCTACACTTTTACGTGCCAGGATGTAAAAAAACATCTCGAATGTTTCGACTTCGACTTGTTAAAATTATTTTTTTATAGGAAATTGACAATATCAGATTGATTCCAAATTGAAAACATCCGAAAAAATTATTTTTACTCACTAATAAGTCTCAAATCACTTCGTAAAAAAATTTGAATGGAATGAATTTAAATTAACGAATTCATCAATTTCTTTCCTAAATAAAACACTAGGGACACCGAAAATCCTTCCTTTTCTAAAGACAACATTTGAGGCGTCTAAGAATATTTCAAACTTTTTCAAAAACCAAACGGCAGAGACCCCCGAGAATCTTTAAGTCTTAAAAAAAAGCAAAACACACATGAGAATCTTTGAAATTACTTCAAAAAAAAATAACTCAACAAGTCGCCAATATTCCTTGAGATGACTTTAAAAACACAGATTCACAGTCCCTGAGATTTTTTAAAAATTAGTTCAAAAACAACATACAAGGGGTGCTTGAGATTCTTAAAATTACTTCAAAAATGTAAAGATGCAAGAGGCTTCCGAGATTCTTTTAAACTACTTGAAAAAACGACATATGTAGTATGCAAGATTCTTTGGGCTGGTCCCCGAGATTCTTTAAAATTACTTCAAAAACAACATACAAGAGGTCCCCAACATTCTTTCAAATTACTTCAAAAACAACACAGAAGGGGTCCCTGTGATTCTTAAAAATTACTTAAAAAAATACAATGGGCTCTCGAGATTCTTTCAAACTACTACTTGAAAAAACGACACAAAGAGTCTCCAACATTCCTTGAGATTCTTTAAAATTACTTCAAAAAAAAACAAGGAATCCCCGATGTTATTTAAATTTACTTAAAAAAAATCATAGGAGGACTTCCCGAGATTCTTGGAGATTACTTCAAAAAAGACACAAGGGGTTTTCAAGATTCTTTGAGATTACTTCAAAATAAGACACACGGAGGCTTGAGATTTATTTCAAATTACTCCAAAAACAATACACTAAGGGTGCCTGGGATCTTAAAAGTTACTCTAAAAAAACGACCTATGGAGTCCACAAGCTTCGTTGAGGTTACTTCAAAAAAGGGGTCCCGAGATTTTTTTAAATTACTTCAAAACAACAACCAAGTGGTCCCCGAGATTCTTGGAGATTACTTCAAAAAACAACACAGAAAAGGTCCCTGAGATTCTTAACAATTACTTCAAAACCAGCATACAAGGAATCTCTAGATTCTTTCAAATTACTCCAAAAACAACACACAAGGGGTGCTTTAGATTCTTAAAATTACTTCAAAAAAATTAAGATACAAGGGGCTTCCGAGATTCTTTCAAACTACTTGAAAAAACGACATATTGAGGCGAGATTCTTTGAGGTTACTTCGAGAAAGATTCACAAGGGGATCCCCGAGATTCTTAAAATTACTTCAAAAACAACACAGAAGGGGTCTCTGAGATTCTTAAAAATTACTTCAAAAAAAAGATACAATGGGCTCCCGAGTTTCTTTCAAACTGCTTGAAAAAACAACACAAAGAGTTTACATCATTCATTCAGATTCTTTACTTAAAAGTTACTTAAAAAAGACACAAGGGGCAAGTTACTTCAAAAAAACGACATATGGAGTCCCCAGCATTCCTTTGGATTACTCCAAAAACGAGACACACGGGGTACTGCGACTCTTTAAAACTACCTCAAAAGCAAGACGAAAGCGGTCCACAAAATTCTTTCGAATTACTTCAAAAACAAAACACGACGGCGACGAGATTCTTTAAAATTACTTCAAAAAAATTAAGAGATCCTCCAGTAATTTTTTAAAATTACCTCAAAAAACCACACAAGGGGTCCTTGAGATTCTTGGAAATTACTTAAAAAAAAACACATGGGATTCACAAGATTTTTTCAGAATACTTAAAAGAAAACCTGAGATTTCCTAGTAATTTTTCAAAATTACTTCAAAAAACAACACAGAAAGGGTCCCTGAGACTTTTAGAAATTGCTTAAAAAACGACATATGGAGTCTGCAAGATTCTTTGAGGTTACTTCGAAAAATATTTACAAAAGGGGTCTCCGATATTCTTTAAAAATACTTCAAAAACAACATACAAGAGGTCCCCAAGATTCTTTCAAATTACTTCAAAAACAACACTGAGATTCTGAAAAATTACTTCAAAAATTACTTGAAAAAACGACACAAGGAGTCTCCAACATTCCTTCAGATTACTTCAAAAACAAAACAAAACTAGTTCAAAAGCAAGACGAAAGTGGTCTCCGAAATTCTTGCAAATTACTTCAAATAACGACACAGGTTTCCGAGATTTCTTGAGATTACTTCAAAAACAAAACACACGAAGGCAATGAGATGCTTTAAAATTACTCCAAAAAAAACAAGAGATTCCCGATATTTTTGAAAATTACTTCAAAAAACCACATAAGGGACCCTCGAGATTTTTGGAGATAACTTAAAAAAAGACACAAGGGGTCCTCAAGATTATTTGAGATTACTTCAAAATCAAGACACATGGGGACCTTGAGATTTTTTCAAAATACTTCAAAAATCAGTACGGAAAATGTCTCTGAGATTTTTTTCAAAATACTTCAAAAAACAATACAGAAAAGGTCCTTGAGATTTTTTAAAATTATTTCAAAAAAACAGCATATGGGGTCCGCAAGATTTTTGAGGTTGCTTCAAAAAAAATTCACAAGAAGGTTTCCGAGATTCTTTAAAATTACTTCAAAAACAACGTACAAGGGGTCCCCAAGTTTCCTTCAAATTACTTCAAAAACAACATAAAGTGGTCCCTGAGATTCTTAAAAATTACTTTAAAAAAAAAGACACAATACTGGGCCCCCGAGCTTCTTTCAAACTACTTCAAAAAACGACACAAACTTAGTCCCCAACATTCCTTGAGATTATGTAAAAAACTAGACACGCGAAGGCACTGAGACTCTTTAAAACTACTTCAAATTCAAAACGAAAGTAGTCCTCGAAATTCTTTCAAATTACTGCAAAAACCGCGACAAGGGGTTCCCAAGATTTCTTGAGATTACTTCAAAGACAAAACACACGAGGACTATGAGATTCTTTAAAATTACTTCAAAAAACTACAGAAGGAGCCCTCGAGATTTTTGGAGATAACTTAAAAAAAAGCCACAAGGGGTTCCCAAGTTTCTTTAGGATTACTTCAAAAACAAGACACATGGGGGCGTCAAGATTTTTTTCAAATTACTTCAAAAAACAGCAAAGAAAGGGTTCCTGAGATTCTTAGAAGTTGCTTAAAAAACGGGTTATGGATTCCACAAGATTCTTTAAGATTACTTCAAAAAAGATTCACAAAGGTGTTCCCGAGATTTTTTAAAATTACTTCAAAAACAACATATAATTGGGCTCAAGAGTCTTTCAAATTACTTCAAAACCAACACACAAGAGGTCCCTGAGATTCTTAAAAACTACTTCAAAAAACAACACAAGGACTCCCCAACATTTGTTGATATTACTTCAAAAACAAGACACACGGGGGCACTGAGACTCTTTAAAACTACTAAATGCAAGACGAAAGTGGTCCCCGAAATTCTTTCAAATTACTTCAAAAAACGACACAAGGGGTTCCCGAGATTTCTTGAGATTACTTCAAAAACAAAATACACGAGGACAATGAGATTCTTTAAAATTGCTTCAACAAAACAAGAGATCCTCGAGATTTTTTTTAAATTACTTCAAAAAACCACACAAAGGACCCTCGAGATTTTAGGAGATAACTTAGAAAATAGGGGTTCCCAAGATTCCTTAGGATTACTTCAAAAACAAGACACATGGGGGCCTTAAGATTTTTTTCAAATTACTTCAAAAAACAACAAAAAAAAACGACATATGGAGTCCGCAAAATTCTTTCAGGTTACTTCAAAAACAACCTAACAAGGGGTCCCAAGATTCTTTCAAATTACTTCAAAAACAACACGAAAGGATTCCTGAGATTCTTCAAAATTACTTAAAAAACAACTTGAGGTTCTAAGATTCTTTCAAATTACATCAAAAACAAGACGAAAATGGCTCCCGAAATTCTTTCAAATTACTTCAAAAAACGGCACAAGGGGTCGACGAGATTTCTTGAGATTATTTCACAAACAAAACACACGAGGGCAACGATATTCTTTAAAATTACTTCAAACAAAAACAAAAGATCCCCCATATTTTTTAAAGTTACTTAAAAAAACATTCTAGGAGTCCCCGACATTCTTGGAGATTGCTTAAAAAAGACACAAGGGGTTGCCAAGATTCTTTGAGATTACTTCAAAAAGAAGACACATGGGGGCCTTGAGATTTTTTCAAATT